ATTAGTATAGATTATAGTTGTAATGGCTTTAGAGAGTCTCTGGTTTTGTTCATCTCTAGCATTAAACAGGTTGGGAAATGGGGCTGCCCTGAGTTATGATTCAGACTCAGTGCTCCTAACTCCAAGGTCAGTATTGTTTCTTTTGTGGTGTGTTGTGTACAGGGACTCATACAATCTCTTTTCTTCCATTGATTATTAATGCTCTACAGAACTATTATTACCTTAGGGAAGCAAGATTAGTTAATAAGGGAACAAATGTTGTTTTTATACCAGCCAATTATTATACCAATTATCATTAGCCCATTATTATATCAATTTGGATTTTCAGGGTCTCATAAATACTTTTACCTTTAACTGCATTGAAACATCTCAAAGTGACTCTGGACATAAGTAGATCATGGATGTAAGCCATTAATTATCTTCAAATGCAATTGTTGAGGAGACCACAGATTTATCTAGCAAATTGCCTGTGCTAGGACCAGGGACATCTCAATTTGAGTATGTGAAAGTTTCATGTATGAAAAACACAATGGGCTTGGAATAGGCAAAATAGGATTCAATTCCTAGCTTGTACAATTACAGTTGTGTGAATAATCATATGAAAATTTTGGCAGCAGAATTATTTGTGTTGCATTTTTTAGTGAGGGGATTGTTTGTATGTATGTTTGTGTCTGCATTTCTTATGTGTTTTGGTACTCCTGTCTATAGCAGTGACACACTCAGATAGATTTCTTAGCCATCAACTAGACATTAGCTTTCCATTTTTTTATTGCACACATAGGAAAATGTAGAATAATCAGACATGTAACTTTATCAGATGTGCACATTTCCAGAACTTTCTGTTCATAATGACACATGAAGGGAGAAGCCAACAGAATGATCTCTTGCCTCCTGTGAAGATATGTGAGTAAGAGATGCTCTCCTGTGCTGTGGATAGTGAAGAATTAAAACCTATAATTAATTAATGTATTTCTAATGTATTAATGTCTTTTTACTTAGTGGTATAAGAATGATCTAATCTGCTCTAATATTCCTTAAATAGAGTCAAAATTCTGGCCCCCTTAGCTGTTGATACTCTTGCTTTTAAATATAAATAGTACAACACAATGCAAGTGGATTTTATATTTGTGAATTTAAAGCCTTTGAAAACTATGTAGGGGGGAACAAATATCAGTATTGTACCTGCATTTGAAAAAAAAAAAAAAAGGATGAGGCAAAATCAAGGTGGCTTAATTCCAAGGCCAGTATTATTTTTTATGGCCAACCAATCAATAAGTTACAAAAAGTTACATTAAAACAACATAAAAAAGAAAAGGAAAAAGAAAAAGAACGATCCCTGGTGGAATAAACAATGTTAAAAGAGAGAAAAGGCATTTTTACTTACTTATAGAGAGAAATTAGCTTCATTATAAATTCTCCCGAATTTAATGAAGCCCTATTGATTTCTAAAAGTTTGTAAAAATTTAGAATAATAGGTACAGGGGACTCTCAGAGGAAAAAGGAAAAAACAAAGTGTACTAAAAGGAACAAGGTCGTTTCAGTTAAGGGAAGTTGACAATGACCTGGTGAAGATAAGAAACAGATGTACATTGTTATCAGGCCCGTTTTAAGAAGTCCTTTTGTAAGCTACTTTTTAACAGACATTAACAACAGAAATTTATAACAGTGTTAACAGTATTTGGTTTAGAAAAACAATGTGCAAGATTTACTTGACTCTCCTAACTATGGCAAATTCTTAGAACAGATAGCTTAGTCAAATTCAATTGCAGACAGTTGTCTGTCTTCTCCCCAAATTTATCTCAGAATAAAGCAGCACAGGGGCCTGTCAATGTTTTTGTGTTTGGGAAATTCAATGATTATATTACAAAGGTTTAGAAAGCAAATTAACTGAGGCTTCCTAAAATTCCTTACATGTCTTCTAAATCAGATAAGTGGTCATCTATAACACTAAACATTTAATGCTATGTAAATGTAAGTGTTGGATTGTAATAACTAACACCTTAATAAAAATGAACTCACATCCAGACAAGTACTACACATTATGTGAATAGTGGACTAATATCAGAGTGTGTCAATATTAAACAGAAGAAATTAATGAAAAATCTTTGTTAACATGAGCATTTTAATTTATTTAAAATTTATAGGTAGAATGATAAAAATTCCCTACATTTCCAGTTTTGTGCTTATATTCAACAGTTTTTGTTCCTCATTAGCATTCCAGTTAGAGGGTGAAATCAATAGAGAAAAAAAAATTGTCAGATGTCTGATAAAATGTCTCATATTTAAAAAAGTAAAAAGCAATATTTTAAGTAATATTGCCATCTAACAACATTAAATATTAAACATTACTGTATTTTAATATGTATACTATGTTAAAATTAATATTTTTTTTCAAGAAGATTAAGACTACAGAGGATAGAATTGGTACCTAGGTGGCAAAGTTTTTGCCTCATCTCATAGAAATTATATTCAAGTTTTTAGGGAAAATTTTTATTTTTATAACGGTAAAATGAGGTCCAAATGTGTTAATTGCTAATTTTTCAGAAGAAGGTGTTCTATTAATAAGTAAATTATATCTCCTCAATTACATGCATAGATGCCTTAGAATCTTTGTTACTTAAATCCTCTCCCCTTCTCCCCCATCTCTTCCATCATGTCCCCATCCCCCATCCCCCACTCAGGTCCTCCCCACCCCATTGTCTGTGCCCATGGGTTATGCATATATGCATACAAGTTCATTGGTTGATCTCTTCCCACCCACACTTTTTTGCCTTTCCTCTGAGGTTCAACAGTCTGTTCCACACTTCTAAGTCTCTGGATCTACTTTTTTTCATCAGTTTATTTTTTTCATCAGATTTCACATATGTGTGAGATTATATGATATTTACCTTTCTCTGACTGGCTTACTTCGCTCAGCATAATACTCTCCAGGCCCATCCAAGCTGTTGCAAATGGTAAGAGTTCTTTCTTTTTCACAGTCACATACAATGAGTGGCCAGATTATCATGATCTCTGAACCCATAATAATCTGGCCACTCAGTATGTGTGTGTGTGTGTGTGTGTGTGTGTGTGTGTGTGTATGTATGAGGCCTGGTGCATGAATTCGTGCATGGGTGGGATCTGGCCAGCCTGGTCAGGGGTGGGGACATGGGCAATTGGCCTGCCTGCCTGCTGGTCAAACTCCTGGTTGAGGGGACAATTTGTATATTAGCCTTTTATTATATAGGGTATACACTGAGTGGCCAGATTGTTATGCATTCAGAGATCATAATAATCTGGCCACTCAGTGTAGTATTCCATTGTGTAAACATACCACAGTTTTTTATCCACTCATCTGCTGATGGGCACTTAGGCTGTTTCCAAATCTTAGCTATTATAAATTGTGCTGCTATGAACATAGAAATGCATATATTCTTTCTGATGAATGTTTCGGGTTTTATAGGATATATTCATAGAAGTGGGATCACTGGGTCAAATGGGAGTTTCATTTTTAATTTTTTGAGGAATACTGTTTTCCATAATGGCTGCCCAGTTTGTATTCCCACCAGCTGTGTTGTGTATAATCTTCTTGGTTCTTACTCACAGACCACCAACAGTAAAACACTTTCACATAAAGGACAGCATGCTCAAGTAATATTCAATTATATCTATGTACCACAACTTTTTAATTCACTCATCTATTGATGGGTACTTGGGTTGCTTGCATATATTGGCTATTGAAAAATAATGCTGCAATGAACATAAGGGTTGCATATATTCTTTTTCCCTTATTTATTTTTAAATTAAATTTTATTGGGGTGACTCAGTGTGCTTTTCTCTTCCCTTCTAGTTGTAGAATTTCCACTTAGCCAGCCTTCCTGTGGTTCTGGATATCCATTTTGTCTTTTAATTGTAGTTTTGAAGTTGTTGTGTGAGGCAGAAATTTCAGGTATTTACCTATGCCGCCATGTTGGTTTCTCCTGGTGTTCTTAAATTAAGATGACATTTGTCATGGGGATGGAGATGACAAAATGATAGACTCTTGCTGAGGTGTAAGCCTGAGCTCAGCTACCAAGAGACTTGGATCCTCATCCTCCTTTTCCCCCTGACTTGACCCATGATCTGTGGTTTGTTCAGCAATATCAAGTCTGGAGACTAAAGACATGGGATTAAAATTTTCTCCAAGCAATTTATAAGTTTATTAAACCCCACTATCTTAGATTTTCTCCTCTCTTGGGGCAAGTCTTTCCAGCCATTAGGAAATTGAGAAGCTTGGAGCATGACATGCTGCTAGCTGTTGCTCCTACCACCTTAGCCATGCCCCTCTTTCTGAGCAAAGGCTATTCTCCTGGCCTCCTTAAAAGGAACGTGAAAATAGAAACAATGTTGCCTCAACAAAAATCTGTACTCCCCAGAATATGAGCTTGTTTGCTGCCCTGATGGCTCTGCTTCTGATTCTGATCCACTAACATCTTTCTAAAGATGTGCCTGGTCTTTGCTAAGCACGAAGTTAGGAAGATATGAAGCCGGAGGCTGAGAATAAAGAGGCACCTATAAGAAGTACCAACTAGGAAATGAGTCCCCACAGGTTGTTTTCAATTTGCCAAGACCTGGAAAATGGAAAAATAAATTCTCCCAAATTCAAACATTACCGTTCTCACTAATTATCGAGTGCCTAGTTTTCATAAGCTGTTAACATCCTTTCTCTTAATTTTTCCCAACAGCCATATATTGTAATTATTATTATCCATTCCCATCTAGTAGGTAAGAAAATTCAGACCAAAAGGAACTAATTGAATTACCTATAGGCATGCAGGAAAACAAATTTTAAATGAGGCCATGCAACTCACTCACCCTCACAAGCTCTTTTTGTGTGTTACTTTTAATTTGGTTGTTTTCCAGACCTTGACATTTTAAAAGAGGAAACTGATGTACTTTTTTTTAAATGTAGAAACTATGCATAAGTACAACAAGACTCATATCTTGTATAATCATAAACCTTACTCTGGATGAGAGACAGGAAGTCTCAGAGGGTGGAGAGCAATGCAGCAAAATCTTTTTGGCAGGAACAGCCAGTAGGAAGTTCTGGCTGAGAGTTCCCCAGAAGTGACCTGGCCCACCAACCACAACACACAGGGCTGGGCTGCAGGAACAGGGAGGCACCTTGGTTTGGATCATAAATTTTGGGGGTGATTATTGTGTTGTTGTTTTTTAAACAGAGAGCCAGGAATTAGATTCTCACCTTGTCTTTGCTGCTGACCACCTGCATGAATTGGTGAGTTGATTTCCCCACTCTGGGCCTCAATTTACTCTCTTTCCAAATAAGAGAACTGGGTGAAACCATCCTTAAGCTTCCTTCACACTCTGAAGTTGTGATTTTCTACAATTCTCTGCATTTTACACTCTCAACAAATACTGTGCAGTTAGATTGAATCCTGCATTAGGACCCCATTGTCCCATTTTAATTTTGTACTAGAGAAAATTGCTGTATGCAGAGAAGTTGTTCTCCAAGCTATGATTTATTTGCCTTCAAAGTGGGGATTTTTAGAACTATCTTATAAAGTTGGGGGCTACCTCAAGTTTGTATCCATGTGGTGAATGTAGGAAGACAAAGAATCCTTCACAGACTGTAGAGTTTGGAGATGATGGCACAATATGGAGATTCCTTGTGAAACCATTCCCAAGACTAAACTCCACAATTTTTTCAACTTTCCAAGCCAAAATTCCATGCCCATTAAATAGTAACACCATGTTGTTCTCTCTTCCCAGCCCCTGGAGCCATCATTCTATGTTTTTAAAAAATTAAATTTATTGGGGTGACATTGATTAATAAAATTTTATAGGTTTCAAGTATATAATTCTATGACACATTGTCTGTATATTGCATTGTGTGCCCACCACACAAAGTCAAATCTTCTGTCACCATATATTTGACCCCTTTAGCCTTTACTACCCTTCCACCCTCCTTCCTCTGGTCACCCCATTCTTTTGTCTGTGTCAATGAGGTTTTTTTCCTTGTTTGTTCACTTGTTGCTTTCAGTTTTATATGTCTCTATGAATTTAAGTACTCTAGGTGCCTCACAGAAGTATAATAATACAATACTTGTCCTTATATTACTGGCTTACTAGTATTTCAATTAGCATATTGTATTCAAGGATTTGCCACTTGGCTTTTAAATTTAGGATGGGTAATATCTATATGTATTAATGTTAATGATGTCCACACAATAATGTTGAGTGTAATGGTTAGAATAATTCTGTTTATGTAGAATTATGAATGTGTATAAACATATATAAAGAAAGAGGAGGCAAAATGAGAAAGGAGAAAAAGAAAATATAAAGGATATCTATAAAATACTCGTCAGTAGGTGATAGTTAACATTTAAGGAATTTTTTGTTTTCTTCTTCAAACCTTATTCCTCTTTTGATTGCATTTGCTATGTTATACACTATTTAAAATAAAACAGTTAAAATATAATAAAAGAAAATGAATTTACATGATATCTGAGAGGGCAGTAAGCTAGAGGCTTCCAACTAGGCCCCAGGTTCTAGCTTCAGGCTCAGAATCAGCACATTTGCAGTCTTTGGGCATGAGAACTGAAATCTGCAGAGGAATTCAGAAATATAGAGACTTTTAAAAAAATCCTTAAGATGTGGTAAATCTTTAATTTCTTTTTTTCTGATTTTCTCTTTTTTTATGTTAAGTAAAATACTTAACATAAGACTTATTCTCTTGACAGCTTTTTAAATGTACCATGTAGCATTGCTATATCTATAAGCACAGTGTTGTGCAGCAGACCTCTAGAATTGATCTTGCACATTTGAAACTTTATACATGTTGTACAGCAGCTCCCCATTTCCTCCTCCGGCAGATCCTGGCAAACACCATTCTAGTCTTCTCTTCTATGAGTTTGACTATTTACCATACCTTATAGAAGTTAAATCATGTCCTCCCGTGACTGACTTATTATACTTAGCACAATGTCCTCAAGGTCAGCATTAAAATAAGAAGGAAATCTTGCAATACATGACAATATGGATGCAGCTTGAAAGATTGGTTTTTAAGATTAGAAAAATAGATATGCATATTTGGTCTATTAAACCACAAAAGCAAGGAAGAAGCCAAGTTGCCAGAATATGGGAACAATTCTGGAACTAGAGACCATCAATTCAAATTCCCTAAGGTCAGAAAGAATGAAATGGATACACCCAAGGATGCAAAGCAAGTTGTATACAAATTGTCTGCCTCTCCGTTGGGGAGACCTCCAAATGTTTACAGTTTTCTCCCAGGGACATCCTCAATGGATGGATATATCAAGCAGGCTTAGTTTTTCAATGCTTCCCTTGCTTCCCATATTCAGTTATGCTTCTGAAGGACAGATCATCTCTTGGACAATGAAGAAACATTTTAAATTCCTACAAAGTCTGATCTGTGGGAGTTTCATATCATTAACTCAAACCTTGGGTCCTAACTGAGCTCATTGCCTCTTCCAGGATCTTTAGCATCATGCTGTCACAGTCCAAGACCGAGGAAGCCTTTGACTCCACTTTGAAGGACATCATTATCCCCCAAAGAGAGAAACCTGGATACATTTATCAAAAAGAAGATACACTGCAGAATGATCTTCAAAAAGAAACCACAGTTGTTGGAGTAAGTCCACCTCATTATAAAGAGAACACTAGGGAAATATTGTGAATGTTTCCCGACTACAGATCTACAATGGGTCTGGGAGAGTCGTTTATTTTTCTGTGTGACTCCAGGCTAATTGGGCCATGGAATGGGACTTTATGGGAAGACTGTATCCTCTCCAGACCTTTCTTCAACAAAAACCACTGGGTCTTTTCTACTTGTAATCTACACAATGAAGTCTCTTATAAATTTGCCTAAATATAGTGGAAATATTGATTTAACTGCATATTTTACTCAATATGATTAGATTAGTTCATTTTAGTTTGAGCTCATTTCTTACACATTTTAAGGTGAGATGATCTGAACTAATCTCAACCATACATTTTCTCCCTGTTTATCTGAGTAACTATAAGACACCCCAGCATCTTAGATTCTCATCCTTCAGATTCAGGACTTTAATTCCCACACGGTTCTAAATATCCCCTTTTAAGTCCCAATTCCTACAAATTCCAGCATTGGAGACCTGCCCAGTTGTGGCCTCTGGAATTCAGGGTCAGTTAATTGCATAGTCCTCTTTATTCCCCCAGTTGTGTTTCTCCTCCTCTCCTCCTCTCTCCCCAACTCAAAGGCCTGCCTCTTCATCTATGTGCAAACAGAAGTCTGGCCCTGAGGGAACTGTTTCACTCCAACCCTTACTTCCAGGCATGGAAGTGAATGCAGTGTCTTCTTAGCTTCTCTTGGATGCTTCCAGATCAATCTTTCCTTCTCATCTATACTCCTACTTTAGAATCTCACTTCAGCACCCTATTGTCTGTGTCCATGGGTTATGCATGCATGCATTTAAGGTCTTTGGTTGATAACTTCCCACCCACCCTCCCCACCTGCCCTCTGAGATGACATTGGTTTAATTATAACTCTGCCCGTTTTTCTGAATTTATTAACCTTAATCACACACACACACACACACACACACCCCTTCTGGTTTATGACTATAACCTCAAATGGACTAAAAAATCTGCCTAAAAGTACCTATTTCTTTCATCCATTCACTTTCTTATTATCCCAGAAAACGATTTTATACATTTCCTCCTTCAAATCTCATAAGTTTTTTCCATCTCCATCTATTACTTTGTTTTCTATAAGACTAAAATATTGAGGCAATTTGGATAGAAATGTCCATAAACTGTGATTCATCTATAAGTACCCATGTCTATGTCCATACATTCTTTCTCCTCACTCCAGCTTCTAAGAATAAAATATTTGTCTAGCCAGTGTGGCTCTGTGGTTGAACATTAGCCTATGAACCAGAAGGTCATGGTTCAATTTCTTGTCAGGACACGTGATCCCCAGTAGGGCGCATGCAGGACACAGCCAATTAATGATTCTCTCTCTTTATTGATGTTTCTATCTTTCTCTCTCTCTCCCTTACTCTCTGAAATCAATACAAATATATTTTAAAAAATAATAAAATGTCTATATAATTAATGACAATCCTCCCTCTGTGCAGTAAATTTCATCCCTTAATATTTGTTTCAGTAATTCTCCCTGCAAAATTCTTAATCAATTTCATAAGCATAGAATCTTACTCTGACTTTTCCCATCTCGAAAACAAACAAACAAACAAAAAATCTAATACTTTTAAGTTTATGTTCTCCGGCTAATGACCCATTCATTACTTGCCTTTCCAGTAACTGTCCTCTAAAAGGTAGGAAGTCAATGTCTCCAATTACTCTTTTTTTTTAAAAAAAATTTTATTGATTTCAGAGAGGGAAAGAGATAGAAACATTAATGATGAGAAAAAAATCATTGATTGGCTGCCTCCTGCATGCCCCCTACTGGGAATCAAGTCCACAACCGGGCATGTGCCCTTGCTGGAATTGAACCCAGGATCCTTCAGTCCTCCGGCCAACACTCTATCCATTGAACTAAACCGGCTAGGGCTCTCCAATTACTCTTGAATCATATTCAATGGTATTTGCCTCCTTTGCTACACATTACTAACTCAATTTTCAAATCTCTGTTGTTAACTCTATTGAGTTAATGAAAGTGTTCTTGATATAGTTGACCACTCTTCTACTTGAAACATTTCATTCACTTAAGGCTTCTTAGACATCACATTCTTCTGTTTTCTTCTCTTTCCTCCCTGGCTGTTTTCTTTTATACTTTTTGTGAATTTCTCTGATCCTAAATTTGGAGTGCTTTAAAGCTCAGTCCTTGTTTCTATTCATTTTCTGTATCTGCTGCAATGGCAACCACATCCAGTAACATGACTTTAAATATTATCTCTAATATGACTTGGGGAAATAAAATTATATCCTTTGCCTGGACCTCTGTTATAAACTTAAGACTCATACATACAAATGCTTAGGTATATCTTCACTTGGATATCCACTAAACATCTCTCCTTTATCCTGTATAAGACTGAAATCCTGATATTCCTCCCCAAACCCACACCTCATACAATATTTTCTATCTTAGATTTATGTCGATGCCATCATTTCAGAAATTTAAGCCAAACCATTTGGAGGCAACTTTATTCCTTTCTTAAAAAAAAATTTTTTAAAATTGATTTTAGGGAGGAAGGGAGAAGGAGAGATAGAAACATCAATAATGAGAGAGAATCATTAATTGGCTGCCTCCTGCATGCCCCCTACTGGGGATCAAGCCTGAAGACCATGCATGACAGGGAATTGAACCTTGGCCTCCTGGTTCATAGATCAATACTCAACCACTGAGCATACTAGCGGGGCTCATTCTTTGCTTTCATAATCCACATTCAAACTTTCAGCAAATTCTACAGGTTTAATCTTCATAGTACATCTAGAATCCAACTACTTCTTGCTATCTTGAAATCATTTGGCCTGGCCCTGCCAAGGCATCAGGGGTGACTTAATTAGATGTTTGGCCAAATATAGCAGGCTAGTTTTTAAGTTGATAATTTTGTATGGCCCTAGAATGATGTTATAAATATCTAAATGATCCATGGCAGAAAAATGATACCTCACCCTCGAGTCTTGGCCATTTGTGTTGGTTTGTACAAGTTATTTTAACTTCTTAAAAAAAATTATATATATATATATATATATATATATATATATATATATATATATATTTAAAATCCAATGATGAATAAGATAAGATGAATAATAGCATTAAAGAATTTCTGTTCTATTTTAATTCCATTGAAATTGACCCCTTTATTAGCACTCCCTTGGTAAGTTTTCTTTCTATATCCATGTAACTGGACTGCTGTCCAGAAAAAAATTTTTCCATCTACTTTTCCTAGAACCATAAAAATTTGTCAAATTTTCAAAATAAAGTAAAAAATGTGCATATAATTATTCCCTGATTTGCTAGTTTAATTATCCTATCAGAAAACAAAAAATGTTAGTAGCATATGAATTTCTCTTAGAGAATGCTTATTAGCTTCTTCTAGCACATTTTTTTTCTTTTTCTTTTTCTTTTTACATTTTCCCTTTTTAATATGACACATTGTAACATGTTAATATTCTTTATAATTCACAATGTACATTCAAATGCCACTTATATCTTTTTAAAGTATATTCTAGTATTTTTCCTCTTGTCTCTTATAGTGTATTCATATCCTGTGTTGCCTGATGATTTCAAGTTTTGGGGCGATTTTGGTTTCTTCTCCCTACTCTTCCCACCTCAAGCCAGCAGTTTCCACCATGTTGATGTCTGGGTATCCATTTGTAGGAGCTCTGTGCGTGAGTAGAAGGGTGTATCCAAGAGGGGATATGCTTAATAAATGCTAACTGGTAAGCCTTGGAGTAACTCAGTTCTGAGAAGTGGGGAGAAAGAAGGAAAAGGCTAAGACCTCCAATTTTCCTTTTGTTATCATCCCATATCATGTCTCTGCAATTCAGGAAGAGCGGAGAGAGGCTTAATCAGTAAGAATCTCAGGGAGTGAATGGGTGAGACAGATGGCAGGAAGATAATGCAGTGGACATACCAGCATTTCTAACCTGGCTTTACAGTATGCCTCTGGAAAAGGAACATTTTTTTCATCCTTCTTTGGGCCTTTAATGAAGCATTTGTATTACCTTCAGTTTAAGAATAGTCCACCTGTCAGATAGAGTGACATTATAATAAAATGACCATCACTGCTAGATGCCACAGGTTTACAGAGAAGTAAATTAGCAATGGTAAAATTCACGCAAGGCAGGGTACTCTTGCTATAAGTTCAAAGGCAATCCTGAACACTTGGAAACCTTGGTTGCTGCTTCCCATCTAATGACTCATGAAGGAAGGACCTTCTTTTGGACACTAGTCATACCCCCCCCCCCCACACACACACACTTCTTTTCTATGTAGTATCCTGTAGAGTAGAAAAAAGTACATATTCTGGGCAAATGAATTTTATCAAGGCATCACTCCTGTATGAATACAGTCTTGTGTGGACACAAATCATGCAGTGATGTAAAAAGGACATGCTTCTGTTCCAAAAGCATAATTTGCCCTTGACTTTTCTATCTAACCAGTAGTTGTGGCTTCCACATAGAATTAATTCATTCTGGAACCTCTTTGTGACAACTAAATCTCTAAGCCACAGCTTAACAAATATTTTAGCTTCTCAGAATACCCTTTTCCATCAATTGGGTCCTTAACATCACTGGAATCAAATATTGACTTCTGGGGCTTCATGATGAGAGACTCTTCATGAAGAGTTCGACCCATTTTCCTTGGCTCCCAGTTTAACTCAGGCCACCTACACCAATGGCTTAAAGCCCATGTGCTTCTGCATCTTGAACCAACAAGTGCTTCTGTTGGCTGCTCCCATCTTCTCTCCCTTCAAATTATTGGTCATTCTCAATCTCCTTTCTTTCAACCATGTAATTTTTAATGTACAATGAGATTTATTATGGAATTATTTTAGATAGTGAAACATTACAAACAATGAAATGTCCAACAATAAGAGATGCGCTGAATAAATTATACATCAGCCATATGATTAAATACCTTGCAGCCACTACAAATAAGGCTTTAAAGGAATAATGATTCAGTGTGGAAAGGCTAACAAGATGATTGTTAGTGAAGAAAAACTCCCACATAAAACAAAACTCTATTTACAATTAAATCCAAGGAAGAAAATCCATACACATAAACTGCATTTACAATCAGATTCTGTGATTAAAAAATGGAGTTCAAACAATAAATATAAATAATTAAGAACACCCCCTCAACCTATTAAAAACAGTTGATTCTAAGTGGGGAGTTTCCTGATCCTTCCATCTCATATCAAGTGCTTTGCAGATACAGCTTCTAGAAGAGTCTGGCCTGTTGCAACAACTAGATATCTCTAGACTTCTGCTGTATGGAGATTTCTAGATCAGACTTAGGTCTGGGTTAGTAGTCAACCTTATAATTTATAACTCTCCTCTCTCCATACACACCTCCAGGATTCCTTAGCTCATACTGAATTTTCACTAACATGACTCCAGTTCTTGCACATCTGTTGATTCTTCAAAGTCAATGGTAAACATCCCGAGGGCAGAAATCAGACCTCTCTATCAATATGGACCTATACCATTCCTATAGTGTCATCTCCCTGTGTGGGATCCCTTATCACGTCCCGCATGGTTTAGGGTTCCTCTTCCAGATTCTGTGTCTGGAGAAGGCTGCACACAAACGAAAAGAGACTGGAAAATAGTTAATTTGGGAAAATGGGGGACCAGGCGAGAGTCCACCTCTAGCGGGAGGACTACCACTGCTCTGGCCTTGCTATCCTTTTTATTGAGGCTATGGGAAACACCTACCGTATTTTTCAGACCATAAGAGGCACTTTTTTCCCCCCAGAAGTGGGGGGAAAAAGTCCCTGCGTCTTATGGTCCAGATATAGCCTACACATATACTTAAAAAAAAAAAGTTTTTTTACTTGCCCGGCTCTGTGTGGTCTCTGTGTGCTTGCCTGGCTCTAAAATGGTTCTAAATGCTGCTGTTTACTTTACAGGGTTGATTACATGTGTTTATGACTGTGATGTTGGGTTTTAATGCACATAAAATATTTTAGGACACTATTTGTTTCAGAATCGTTTTTTCTTCATTTCCCTTCTCTAAAAACTGGTGCGTCTTATGGTCCTGAGCGTCTTATGGTCCGAAAAATATGGTATATCCTTTAGGCAGGAAGTTCCAATAATAGACAATCAGCAAGAATTTACATATGATTAACAGGTGGAGGTTGCTTTAACTACCAAAGTCTCAACTAAACAATGAGTGAATAGCTCCTACCTTTCAGAACAATTAAAGTTGACCAGCCTTCCAGATTTCCTTTTCACGTTTCTCTATTAGTGACAATGTTTGGTTTCTGGCATCCCTGAAAGTTTTAGATTACTTATTGACTGAGTGATTGATACATTTCCACAAAACAACTGAACTGATTATTTCTCTCTTTTCTGAGCAGTTTGCCATTACTGGAATTCTTTCCATTGTCTCTGGGAAAAAATCAACTAAGCCCCTTGTAAGTATAAAAGGAACTTCAGAGTTAATTCTTCCAGTTCAAAATTTCCATTTGACTATTTAGGAAAACAAGGCTTAGAGCAAGTGAGGGAACCCAAGTTCTTCCCACTGGTCCACTGGCTGAATTAGGAGTAAAGCCCAAATTCCTTGCCTTCAGACCAGTATTCTTTCCCCTACACAATGAAGCTCCAAACAGTGGAAATTTTTACATATACTAAGGATCCTTTAAAACTTACCTTGGCCCTGGAGATGGTGATGACCATCCCCGCTAGATCCTAATTTTTTTTTTCCTAAAAAAAAAAATTAAAAAATCTATCCAATAATGTGTCAATTTTCCTAAATGGCATGGGCAGAGGCAGAGGTGTGTGGGCTTAGATATTCTCTGGCTATTTCATTTACTCCTTCAAGAACAAGGAATTATCAGACTGTAGTCACTCTCCTGACAAAGGTCAGGAATTGGGAGGCAGGGGATGGAAGTAGCTGAGATCTTTGATCTTCTCCATATCAACATTTCCCTTTCCCCTGACATCTGCCCACAAAGATGACTTAGGAAAAAGCCATATCCTGACTCAGGTAGATCCAAGGTCTGGTTAGCCATGGATGAGAAATCATAAGATGTACTATACTGGTATATGCTCCTGAAGCTTGAAACTAGAGTCTGACCCCCAGAATCAGTGAAGAGGGTATTGAAGAGTTTATAGCATGGATGGAGTTAGAACTCTGGACTTGGTATCAGGAAACCTTTATTCCCATCCCAGCTCATCCCCCTATCCATCTGTATGCTTGAAAAAGTTCCTGCCTTCTCTGGACTTCAGTTTTCTTATTTACAAAATGTGAAAGATGAACATGTGGACCTCAAAGGTGGCTTCCCAAGTGCCCTGAATACACTGAAAGGGAAAATTATGTTTGGGATGACCTGACACAATATGGTCTCCACATGTGGGATACAGGATAATATGAGGGCTCGCTGCCCGCATGGCAGCTCCTGGCCAAGGTGCTGCCCATTTTCAGGGACTCAGAAACTTGAAGCCATATAGCTACTGGATCAAGACAGAAGAAGATAGGGCAACCATCTTCCCCAATACACAGTATCCTACAGTGATGCTTAAACAGAAAAGAGCATGCGCTGGGAATCTGATACATCAGTGTCTTTGCAGAGGAGTCACATCTTGTGAGAACCCCTTTCCCCAAAATGTAGACTATGACCCAGGAGTGAGTATGGTGAAGAGGCTCTTGTAGGCCTGATCCAGCTATAGAATGTATTTCAACTTTTCCAATTTGCTTCTTTCTTCTTTTCTGAAGCTGCTTCTTTATGAAAGAACAAGCCACAGATTGGTCTTCCCAAGAGGGACCAAAGGCCATATTCTAGAAGCTTTTAAAATTATTCTGTTGAGGAGTAAAGGGAGATTTTGGTGATATGATTTCTGTTTCTAGTGCTGCAGAGAGTCAAGGAACCCTTCTCCCAAAGCAGGAATTAATCCACAGATTTCCCCCCTACCCCAATTCAACAAATATTTACTAATTATATAAGGTGATGGACTAGACAGTGAGAAGAGATACACAGAGATGAAGAGACACAGTATGTGCCCACTAGGACTATGCAGATTAGAAGGAAGCTTGGTTGCAGTGCAGTGGATAGAAGGAATCAGAGTCATGTTCCATTTCTGTGATGAGATCCCAGTGCAGAATTTCTCTTCCAGGCCATCTGCAGTCTGACCTCTAATGCAGTGAGTTCTGTTGTCGCTGGAGCAGGCCTCTTCCTCCTCATTTACAGCCTGGTAGCCCTGAGGACTGTCTCTCAACTGTGTAACTCAGAAAAGGAGCATCTATCTTCCTTGCCTTATTCAAGGTACCCTAATCCAATATATGATGTCAAGAACTGTGTCCTGGATGGTGTCAGTCTCACAGTAAGTACTTTCAGATTGAGTCTCCTGTCATGTGAAATCTCTGTTTCCCTTCTGCATAATCTTGCTTTTTCAGCAATCCCTAGCCCTGTTTGTCTGACTGTCTGAAGACAGACAGAAGAAAATACAGTTGAAAGAGGCCCGTCAGCAGACTGCATAATATGGGGGATGCATTGTGCAAAGTCAAAAAAGGAATCAAGAAGGGATGTGGGTAGTTCATTCCTATAGTAGTCTTTCTTAAATTAAAAAAGAAAATCCCATTCTCAGTAGGTTTAACTCTCAAATTGTTCTCTTTTTTGTCTCCCCCTCACTGAATATCCAAGAAACACCACTCTTTATTTGAATTTCATTTGATTTGAGATATAGGTAGCCTCTATTAAGTTAGATATGGATTTTGAACCTGAAGCCCAAACATATAATTATTATACTTTGGCCTCATAGGTCTGGCAGAGAGAGGAGGATGGGAGATGGCTCGCCAGTGGATTTGACTTCTAGCAGAAATGCCAACATCTCTGGGCAGCATTTTCTTACCTCCTTTCCCCCAAACTTGATAGTCACCACCTGTTGATGGTGACAATCCTGGATTAGTCAATCCTCTGTATATTGGATCAGAGGCTAAAACCATCAACTCTGCCCCTTTATGGAAAAATATTTCTTTCTTTGTGATTCATCTCTATAGGAACTGTAGAGACAAAGACACTGTTTCTCTCTCTTTTTTTAAAAAAAGTATATTTTATTGATTTTTTTACAGAGAGGAAGGGAGAGAGATAGAGAGATAGAAACGTCGATGAGAGAGAAACATCGACCAGCTGCCTCTTGCACACCCCCTACCGGGGATGTGCCCACAACCAACGTACATGCCCTTGACCGGAATCGAACCTGGGACCTTTCAGTCCGCAGACTGACGCTGTCAGTCTCTATTTTGTTTGTCAGTTTATTTTATCCATTAGAGTCCACATATAAGTGAGATCACATGGTATTTGTCTTTCTCTGAATGGCTTATTTCATTTGGCATAATATTCTGTGAGATGAAACTGTTGCTGCTTATTTCCCTTTTTCTGTTAAGAGGTCCAAAAGAGAAAGCAGAAGAGAGAATTAAACAAATTTTCTCTGTCTCTAGTTCTCTCCACTCCTAGAGCCTTCATCCCCCAGTTTCCTCTCAGTCAGGCACAAAGGCTGGCTTATGGCACCAACAATCCCTGTTCTGATTTGCAGGGTGTCCTGGTGGTGATGCTTATCTTTTCTATGCTGGAGCTCTTATTAGCTGCATATGCTTCCGTCTTTTGGTGGAAACAGGTCTACTCCAGCAACCCTGGGGTGAGTACTCTGACATGTCACATGATGCCTGCTGGGTCCCAAGATTTGAGTTATGATGATTAGGTCACTGGGTATATATGGAAGGCGACTTTTATAGTGAGAAAAGAGTTCAATTAAAAGGGTTCCTTCATGATGACACGCTGGTCATCAAAGATCAGCTGGTGCCTATTGCATAGCAAACCAGTTAGAGAATTACTTACGATGAAGCTAGAATCACCTCACCCAGTTCCTTATTAAAGAACCAAGACTTGGATAAGTCACACAGAGAATGAATGATACGGACTAATGAGCTGAGACTGAGAACTTGCATCTCCTCACTCTTGTCATGGCCAGCCACCTGCCTCCCTCACCCAGTTCCCTTGTGAATGCGATGAGATTTACTAGGACATCTCTGTTCCACTTATGCTTCCTTACTTACTGTGTTCTTCCTTACTTCTTTTTTAGGTCTTGACATCATAATTTTAAATTTAAATGGGACCCAAATTTTTGAGAGCTGTAGCAAAAACAAGAGAGAAATATTTGAGAGGAATGAACAAATTATGCTTCAATTATGATACTATCAGAAAATGACAACATAATTAGCAGATTGGAGAATGGCTTTTGTTTGAACTAATATTGATACAATTATATATTAATATTATAGGAAAGTTGGGAGAGCTAGTACTCTGCAACATTTGTGGGGAGTGCATTATAAATATGTATTTGAAAAATCTCCAAAATCAAAGTTTTAAAACTATTAACAATTTTGATTTTTCCTAGAGTTCATTTTCCTTGCCTCAGTCACAAGATCATATCAAACATGTCAAAGACTTCTTCAAGGGTATGGCTATGAGTAACTGTTGGCTGTGGAGGAAAAGGAAGGAGAAACCCAGTGCTTATGGCAAAGTGTGATTAGACTTCCCTGAAATTTCAGCTATTTTAGATGCTGGAAGAAACTTTTTTTTAAAAAATAGCCTTTGTTTTGTATTTTGTCCATATGAGTAATTTTGTTGCTCTTATAAATAATTTCCCCAGAGCTCAGGTCAGTAAAATTTTATTAGCCTGTCTTCCGAAATGGCCATAAAATGTATAAACTTAAAATATATCTTTATTGATTTCAGAGAGGAAGGGAGATGGAGAGAGAGGTAGAAACATCAATGATGGGAGAAAATAATTGATTGGCTGCCTCCTGCATGTCCCCTACTGGGGATCAAGCCTGCAACCCAGGCATGTGCCCTCGACTGGGGGCTCTGCAGTCTGCAGGCTGATGCTATATCCACTGAGCCAAACGAGCGAGGGCTATATAAACTTGTTCTGGTAAACTAAACAGAAATCGATTGTCTATCCATAAATAGCAAGAGAAAATTTGCTGTTTTGTGCTATTGTGAATTGGCTAAGTCACGTGTCTGCAGGCTCTGTTTCTGTATTATTTTCACATGCATATTGGTTAAATAATAGATATTAGGATTGCAAGAACATTTTAATTAAAAATATATGGCTCTATTTCTGTCAATTGAATGGATTACATTCCTCTTCATTAAACATAGCTCAATGTTCTGTCTCAATGCCTTTATTCTTAAATATCTGGATTCAAAGATTATAATTTATCACAATCTAATGCTTTCTCCCATCTAAGTTCTGGACTGAATAATAAATTTGACATATAGAAATAATATAAACTTCATTACTGTATTGAAGTAAACAACATGGCTGACCTAATATAGAGATTCCTAATATTGCTCCTGGGTCTAGGTCTTGGTTCCTGTCCCAAAGGGGAATATGCAGCAGATGTGCACATGTATATTTTCCAAATGACATGTACAAAAATGGTCATACAGATAATAGCCCCCAAAGGCAAATATCCAACTAAACAGTAGAAGAAACAAATGAAAACTGTGGTATATTTAGGCAATGGTGGAGTAGATAGTACTTTGAGTGAACAAAGCACAATTCATACAGCCACATTGATAAATCCACAAAATAATGTTCAGGGGAACAAAAGCTACATATGAGAATATATACTGTATAATTCCATTTTTATAAAATAAAGTTTGAACATAAATAAAACTAAAATAGAGTGTTAGAATCAGGAGCATGGTCACCTTTGAGGGGTTTAATTGGAAGGGAAGCCAGAAGGCCTATGGTTCCTACAAATGTTATTTTTTCCTTTATCTGGATGCTGGTGCTGTGCATATATGATGTGTTCCCTTGTTTCTGTATTGCAATGGAATAAAAACATTTTAAAACAGTTAGTTTTGACCTCTTGTGCTTGTCTAGTTATTGAGTCATCCCTCACTTCTCCATAGACAACTTCCTTCCCCAAAGCCTGGAGTCATCCTTGACTCTCCTATTTGTCTCACATACCATATTGAAGCTACCAGCTAGACCTAACCTCAAAAACCTGCTAGATCTAACTTCAAAATATATCAAGTCTGATTACTTCTCACCATCTCATGAGTACCCTGGTTTATCATTTCCCATTGGCTTTATTGCAATGAGAAACCAACTGGTCACCCACACCACTCAGCCTTTGTTCCACGTAGCAGACAGGGGGAGTTTTAAAAATCTAAAATCAGATCATGTTATTTCTTTGCTCAAGCACATTCCATTTCATTCTGAATAAAAGTCAGAGTTCTTAAATTCCTTATAAGTCTAAACTCTCTTTCCTCTCTAATCTACTCTCTGACTTCTCTCTCACTTGTTCTCTCTACTCCTATCACATTGGCCGTGTTATATTATTTTCCCAGAGACTTTACACTTGCGAGCCTCTCTATCGGAATGCTTTTCCTGCAAGTATTTTCAATGCTTATTTTCTCACTTCTTTCAGGTTGTTAAATCTCTCAACCTCAAAGTAACTTTCTCCCACCAAACAACATAATATTGTAGCCCTCTTTCCCCTTCACTTGCTAATTTTTCTCCATAGTACTTACAGCTCCTATTTGAGTGTTTTTAAGTGTCTGTGTATGTGTGTGTGTGTGTGTGTGTGTGTGTGTGTGTGTGTGTGAATATTTTAAACGGGTGCAGAACCTTTGAGATTCCTCTTTATCCCATAAGTCAAGCTATACAATGCAATTTTATTTTATCCAGGATTTATTTTTTATTTGTTTGTTTTTGTTGGTCCTTTTTCTGTTAATAGAAAATTTCTTCAAACTAAATGGATAATTATATTCAGAACTAGAGGCCTGGTTCATGAAAATTCATGCACTGGAGGGGAGGTCCTTCAGCTTGGCCTTCCCCCTTTCATAATCACAAATGGGAGACGACCCAATGATTAGGGGAAGGCGACACCCTCATCACACCTCTGCTGCTGCCACTGCCGGCAGCACAAGCTTTGGCCAGCCCTGGTTATGGGCAGCCATGGGCAGCTGGGCAGCTGCTATCTGAGTAGACTGGGGGACTCCAGAGGACATCTGGGCAGCCCAGGGCTGAGGGGACTGGGGGACTCTGGAGGCAGGCGTGTGATGAGGCCTTGCTGAGGCCTGCTGCCCTGGCAGGGCTGAGGGGATTGGGCGTTGCCATCTTGTGGCAATGGGCACCGCCATATTTGAGGAAGTGGCAGTCAATTAGCATATTTCCTCCTTATTGGCTGTGGGTGCTTCTATCTTTGTGATGGCATGAGGGTGAATTAGCATATTCCCTCTTTATTAGATAGAATTGTCTGGGATAATATTCTAAATGGATGGAAGGTGCAATAAGGTTGCATCTTTCATTTTTAACTCACCCTCGCTCCTCTAACCACCCCAGCGTGGTTGTCTTTTACAAATGATATAATCACCTACTCAGTTTCTAAAGTTAGAAATTTGGGAGTCATTTTGATTCTTTCCTTTGCCTCACTACTTCCTTTGACTCCTTCCTTTGCCTCCTTTGGGAAAACAGGCAAGAACCTCATAGGAAGGTCTAATAAACTCATGGGATGAAGAGTAATGGTTTCAACCAAGTCCAGGAAGACATTGCAAATCTTTAACGTACTATACATTAGAACTTTGAGTTCTCACTCTTAATCTTTAAAAAATGCAGCTTCCAGACGAAACTGGTTTGGCTTAGTGGATAGAGCATTGGCCTGTGGACTGAAGGGTCCCAGGTTCGATTCTGGTTAAGGGCATGTACCTTGGTTGTGGGCACATCCCCAGTGGGGGGTGTGCAGGAGGCAGCTGATCGATGTTTCTCTCTCATTGATGTTTCTAACTATCTATCCCTCTTTCTTCCTCTCTGTAAAAAATCAATAAAATATATTAAAAAAATAAAAAATAAATAAAATTAAAAATGCGGCTTCCAGAAAATGGTAACCCCAAATTAGTGGCTAAGCCACACTTACTCAGATTTTTACCACAAACTCTACAACTCTTCCTCCAATCTTACCCAACTTGGTGAAAGATTCTCCTTGTTGGTCTGATGAAGTAAGTAAGCAGCCATGTGAGGCAGCAAGGTACTGAGGGCACCTTCTAGTACCTAATGGCAGCCTCTAATCTCCAACCAGCAAAACCTAGAGTCCTTGCCCTAACCAGTTTGGCTCAGTAGATAGAGCATTGGCCTACAGACGGAAAGGTCCCAGTAGGAGGTTTGCAGGAGGCAGCTAATCAATGTTTCTCTCTCATCGATGTTTCTAACTTTCTATCCCTCTCCCTCCCTGAAAAAAAAAATAAAATTCTTTTTAATTAATAAAATATATATTTTTTAAAAACGCAAAAAAAAAAAAAAATCTAGAGTCCTTAATCAAACCATAAGGAAGCAAATTCTGTCAGCTACCTGAATGTGCTTAAGAATGGGTTTTCCCCAGTTAAGCCTCCAGATGAAAACAGACTGGCTGGCATCTTGATTGCAGCCATGTGAGGCCCTGAGCAGAGGCACCCAACTAAGACATATCTCACCTCCTGATCCACAAAAGCTGCAAGATAATAAATGTGTGCTGTTTTAAGCCACTTAGATTTGTGGTAGTTACATAATAATAGAAACAAATACAGATTTTTCACCACAAACTCTCCAACCCTTCCTCCAATCTTACCTAACTTGGTGCACAGAAAATAGACCTGGAAAAACCAAGTTAAAATTTCAGCTCCACCTCTTACCAGCAATAACTATGGTACTCAATTATGTTTTCAAAATGGGTATGATAATATAACCTGCCTTCCCAGGTTGTTGGCAAGGTGATAGGGCAACTCAGGCAGAGGAATCATTTAATAAGGGAATAAATATATAATTTTATTTAGGGCAGTGTTGGCATATATTAGGGGCTGAGTGCTATTTGTCAAACTCAAGGAAGAGAGGTTTTTTGCAGGCTGAAACCAAGAGGAAATACACTTTCCACTTGAAGAATATCACCCTCTTTTAGATCCCTTAAAGGATTCTGTCATTTCATCTCTCCATACAATAGCCTAGTTCCTGCCCACTGGTCTAAGTCCATACGCTTAAATATTAGAAACCCATTTTAAAGAAGTTTGAAAGAAGCAGGAGGAAAAGGCAGAGGATGACAATCAAAATGATAAAATGAGATGCATTTTGAAATAACCAAGGCATTTCAAATTATAAACTTGTCCTGCTTAATATCAATAAGTCATTCCTAAAAATCAAGAATTCTGCATTTCTCTTTCATCATTTTAAAGGGAAAAAAGTTTATGCTATTATTCAGCCCAAACTCCCATCCACTTTCCTAAAATGTGAGTAAAATTCAATAAACTATCTACATATAAGAAGTAAATTAACAGGTTATAAATTACTTGCTCACCAAAATAATCACAATGGCTGGTTAACAGCTGCTGTGAGGTGTGTGGCTGCAGTTAGAGTCAGCACCATCTGGGGCGCATTTCCCTTTTCTTGCACAGCAGGCTTCTCAAAACTCCACAGGATTCTGATGGTCTGTCAGTTCTACTTAGAATTTAAATACAGACTTGTCCCACACTTTTTGTTTAAAATGTTGTGTTTTACTGTAGGCACATAAATTAAAATTTGCCTGAATAAACATTGC